TGGAACTAATGTCATTTAGGTGGAAGAATAAACGCAACATTACTCCTTGTAGATGTTTTAAAGCAAATCAGACCTTCAATTCAACGTGTTCCTGTAATGGAAAACAATGGTACAATAATGCAGGAAGTGATATATACTTAGATTGTTTAAATCTGTAGTTTAGTATTTGGCATCCAAGTATTTGCTTGTAGACATGTTAAATTCTATGTAGGACTGGGAAAATGAAGCACTCGGAGAACCTTTAGACTAGTTTGTATATTCACTGCTATTTCTTATACTATAATAGAGTAATTTAATGTATAGATATATAAGAGAAATTTATTTACAGACGTTGAGAAGTCTTTAAGGAGGCATATTTTTCGTATGCATAACTTTATATACTCAGACTTCATAGAGTACTGGCATCTTAAAGCATGTGATACATAATGAATTAGTGTAATAATATCAGTACTTACATATCAAACATGAAACAACGGATAGTGAATAAATAGCTAATCTGCATGTAGGAAACATTAATATTTTGTTAATCTATATTATTGTTCAGTTATTGTTCCCGTTTTATCATTAAAGTGCGTAAATGATCATTTTATATAATTATAAAATCAAAAGACACTTCTTTGATCAGAGAATTATCCAGAGGGGTAACAACTGCCCCCAGAGACCCAGCGATACGGGGGAGGCATGCTAAATAGGGCTTCATAACGCTATGATAAATCGGATATGAAGGGGTTCCGATGGGAAAATTCTGCTCTACGCCTCTGAAATTACCCTTAAATCTAAAAAACATGAAAGTGGTATCATGACTAATATTAGTTGTGGTACAGTTAGGATTGTATTCAACATAGATACCAGCTTGTAATAAAAAAATGCCATAAGAGATTTTTTTATTTTTAGGAGAGGGAGAGTCTTGCCTGGCCGCTTATGTGTGCACCCCCAATAAAATCATTACTCTTTGTGTGAGTGTGTAATTTTAAAATGTAGGGGTTCAACATGACTGTTAGAGAAACAGGTCAAAATATATCAATTAAAGTATTAGATATAATCGTAAGATATATATTTATAATTTCATAGAGGATCTATTAGTTTTGCCTTAGATCGAAAAATGTATTTTGATATTGTTAAGGGTATTGTTTTTGCGAAATTTGTTATGTAAAATTAAATTGCCTAAAATAAAATAACTAAAGCTATTATATTCATGTAAGTGAATTTAGTCCTGGACATCCTTTATCATTTGGCGTTTAAAAAGCTATTGGGGTATAAAAAGTCATGCTTTTGTATCATCAGCTTTTACAGAAATAAAATCTTATTAGTCTTCTTCACACGTCACTTTAGTTTAAGATCCGATCTTTTGGCCAACCAATTATCTATTCGATTTGTCTTAAAGCCAGCATAAAATATGCATAAAGCAGAATTCGTTAGCACACGAGCAAATTGCATTCGTGTAATTGAATATAACTGTGCTTATTAACAAATCCATGATTTTAAGCATTTTTTAAAAAGAAAAAAATATATTTTCGAATGGTAGATGAAGTGTCATGTGTAACAGAGCTATTAAAACATTTGCTTTTGTTTCAAATGTTAGCCTACTAGAAAGTGAGGTTTAACAAATATTTATATCGAATTTTCTTTTACACGCAATTCTGTATTTTCTGTTAGTTTATAGCAAACTAACTGTGTTTATCGTGTGTAGTAAATTATTCGTCTTGCCCAGTATTTCATATCCTAAAGAGACACCATATGTTAAGCATCTTTTCATTGTGTTATATGCCCCCTAGTGGCACAGCGGTATGTCTACGGACTTACAACGCTAGAAACCGGGTTTCTATACCCGTGGTTGGCAGAGCACAGATAGTCCTTGTGTTGCTTTGTGCATAATTAAAAATAAACAAACAAAAAACAAACATTGTGTTATATACTCATATTTAGTTTTCAAAACTTTCGAAATAGTACTTGTTAAACATAAAAGCGGATCATACACACTGATAGCAATAAGTATACATATGTCACGCCACGCGAGCTCGTGGCGAGGATTCTTTATTCTAAGAAAGTGTCTCCCCCAAACTATCAACCGTGGGAACTCGTAGGTCCGTCTAGTCTCAACGTCATGTCTGATTTTCAAGGCCTTCAGAGTCTGTGGTTAGAGGTGTTGGGAAAATTAATAGAACATCTGCCCGTCCGTGATGTGCATCTCTGATCGTTAATCTTGGTGTAAATATCTTTCTTTATTTAAAGTATGGTGGATCAGATGAAAGAACTACGCTAGTGAGAATCAGTGCGTTATGTGTACTCTACTTATATCCCAAAGAATAAATCAATATATCCTTGTTTGTTTCATAAAATTATTTTTAATTACGTAGACATTTCACACATACACCGTATCCCTGCTAGCTAATCACCGTGTGTGGTAGTGCCTTTCTAGAAGTGCCAGAAGGTTAATTCTCTACCAGCAGCTACTAGTGGTTAATTATATAGCTCAGTTATTATGCTATTCACTGCCTCAACAGCAACTACTAGGTGGTTAACCATCTAGTTCTGTTGGTAGAGCATTCATTACCTTACTAGAAGCTACTAAGTGGTTAACCATATAACTCAGTTGGTAAAGCATTCACTACTTTACTAGAAGATACTAGGTGGTTAGCCATCTATCTCATTCGGTACTGCACTCACTACCTTACTAGCAACTACTAGGTGGTTAACCATGTAGTTATGTTGGTAGAGCATTCATTACCTTACTAGAAGCTACTAAGTGGTTAACCATATAACTCAGTTGATAGAGCATTCACTACTTTACTAGAAGATACTAGGTGGTTAGCCATCTATCTCTTTCTGTAGTGCACTGACTGCCTTAGTAGTAGTTACAAGGTGGTTAACCCTCTTGTTCAGTTGGTAGAGCATTCATTACCTTACTAGAAGCTACTAGGTGGTTAACCATATAACTCAGTTGGTAGAGCATTCACTACTTTACTAGAAGATACTAGGTGGTTAGCCATCTATCTCATTCGGTACTGCACTCACTACCTTACTAGTAGTTACAAGGTGGTTAACCCTCTTGTTCAGTTGGTAGAGATTCACTGTAGCTTAACTGGTGGAGCGTTCTATTGGTGTCTGAGAGGTCTTCGGTTCTAAGCTGAGCTAAGAAAACACACATATTTTTATTACCACACATTTGCAAATAAAACCATATAATAAAAAAATAAAAAATATTAATGGTAGTGCTAATGTTACAGCACAAGACCGTTATGGAGAAAGTTTAGTGTAGTAAAAGTACAAGTGTTGAGACTAGTCATAACCATAAAGTAATGTTGAGTACATGTTACGTAACGTAATAGTGTTTCAACGTCATATCAGTATACGTTGGTGATTAGAGCGCTCGACTCGCAATCTCCGGATCGCGGCTTCGAATCCCCGTCACACCAAACATGCTCGCCTATCCAGCCGTGGGGGCGTTTTAATGTGACGGTCAATACCACTATTCGTTGATAAAAGAGTAGCCCAAGAGTTTGCGGTAGGTGATGATAATTAGCTGTCTTCCGTCTACCCTTTCACTGCTAAATTAGAGACGGCTAGCGCAGATAGCCTTCGTGTAGCTTTACACAAAATTGAAAACAAACAAACAAAAAGTAAATGTTAATATATTTTAGTACATTAATGACAATGAAATAATAATTATACAATGTTAATTACAAAAAATCAATATTGAACTTTCGGAAATGTCAACATATAAAATTAGCAGTTATATATGCAATTTTATAATGAAACACATGTTATATTAATGATAAAAATAGGCTTAAAATGGCAAAGGGGAAAATGCAGGATTTTTTACTTGTAAAAGTTGCTATTTATGTTTGTAATCTCAAACTGCTTATTTGAAATTTAGTTTGATACATTGTGTATCATGTCTATTTTATATATCAACCATCTATATATATATATATATATATATATATAACTGTAAATTCATGATTAATGGAAAGTTTCTTCCCTTATATGTAATTGTAAAAAAACGCAAAAATGCCCATAAAAACTGCAAAATACAAAATACGAAACCGCAAATTTGCATGGATCCAAAAACCTTAATGTCAAATTTGGTAAAGATCCATCAACAGGGGGCGAAGCAGTGGTAAAAAACGCCCATAAATACCGCAAAGTGCAGAACTGAAAATTTGTATGTACCCCTGAATGGACCTAATGAACCTCCACACCAATTTGGGTGAAGATCCATCCACGCCCTGCGAAGCAGTTACATGGACATTCAACAGACATTACTAATATATTATTGTAGATTAACCAGGCTGAGTATTTAGTAAGACGGCGTGTTGTTCATCCAATTAACTAGGCAAATTGTAATATGTATAGACCTTGAAGCTAACATTTTTTAGTCTTAGTTTTTTAATACATACGAAATTAGTTTACTATGAAATCATGTCTTGTTTTATTTAACCCATGTAAAATTGTCAGTTTTAATAAAGCCATACGAACTAAAAAAATCATATCTCTTTTTAAGTTTCATTAGTAATCCGCATAAAGAATTTCTATAATTTATTTTGTATATCATTTCCTTAAATCTTTAGCAGTGATTATATGAACTCTAAATTTTTGATTTTGCACTATGTTGTTTAAATAAATTTAGATTTTTTTTTTCATTTGGTCTACAACGTTATGTTTCTTTACTTGAAGCTGGTAATTAATTGAAGAACTTAGGAGGATGAACGGCTTTTTATTATAATAACTACCTCAAATTTAATGATGCTACAAAGATAAATAAATTATATATTCAGCAATTCGCCGTAATTGAGTTTAATAAGTTTGTGGTAATGCATTTCACCTTCATTGATTAATTTTCCGTCAATAATCTCACTAACTGCGATTGATTTTTAATGTATTTTGCATTTCATTTTAGTTATATGTAAGAAATTATTAACAAACATCAAAGTTATTTATTAATTAAGCTTCATGATACATCACTTTTCATGTTGATTTCGTTTTTCTTTCTTTATAAGTTCCTGCAAGATTTGAAGAAAAATTTCATGTCGAGAGAGTCCATCGTGGTGACTCGGTAAAGTTAGAATGTGACGCACTTGGTGATAACCCAATGACGATTAGTTGGAACAAGGATAACGATCGTCTTTCGAGAGTGGACACTGGCCGGTTAGTAATAAGTTTCTTGTGTTGTCTTTTTTTAAAATTGTTAAGTAATTTATATAATGACGTTCCGTAATTTTGGTTTAGTTACTCAGATGTATAAACAATATATATATATATAATCATTTTTTTAAATTTTCATCATTTCATTTTCATTATTTTGCATTACAGTTTATCAAAATTAGCATAAATATGAGATCTAGCGTTTAGATGTAAATATTTAGATTAGACAGAAAAATTATAAGGAAGGTGACTGCATTATATTGTTTGTATAGTAAACTAGAGAGGCACTCAGCAGAACGCATACCTCCGCCACGCAAAGTTGATCATATTCAAAAAATACGAAAATCTGTCCGTATGTCTGTCTTTACCAACGGACACTGACCATTTTTGGCAGGACAATGAGGAATAACATTCTACATAGGCCCACCAGGTTGACTGAGTTATAGAGCAAAACTTGTGTGATAAATTGGTCCCCATGTTAAGAGATAGGGAATTTTTGAATTATCGTGAATTGACCTTTGACCTTGACCCTACAGAAACTAACCACTTCTAAGTTCGGTCATAGTCAAAATGTATATCGACTTGCGTCCAAATCCATTCAGCCGTTTTCTAGAAATCTTGCTGACAAACGCACAGGCACACACAATTTAGTCTTGCTTCTTAATTTTTCAATGCATGTTTTTGTTTTCATCTTTAATATTAAATAATATTTTGAAATGCATAGATATTTTTATATTTCATTCTTTAAGTTCTTAAAAACTCATTTTATAAAAGATAAATGTTTATGAAGTCTTCTAGTTGTTTCTTTTAGTATGTTTGTTCTTATACTCTATTTTGTATTTAGTATTTATGACAAAGCCATTAAGGCTACCTACCGTCGTCTCTAATTTTTAATTAATAACCAGAGGAAATGCAGCAGTACCCAGTCAGCCACCATCTATACTAAGGTATTGACTTTCACTCTTATAACGCATTTTGTGGTATCGCACGGATTCAAACCCGGCTCTACAGATCCGAAATCCAGAGCTTTACCACAGTCCCAAACCTTAACATCGAATTCAGTAAGAAAGGGAATCCTCGGTAGCCGCGGCTGTAATTAGATCTCAAATCGTTCAAGAGCTGGAGCTATGAGCTAAAATTTTGTACTTGAAAAAACAAGCAAAAAACCCAAAAAAAACTCAGAGCCATTCTATAATCCGATATGCCGCGGCTAAAACATAGCATTTCAACTAATATTTTACTAGATTTAAAAGTAAAGAGCACATTAGAAATAAATTTTCCAGACATGTACTTATAAATTCAGAAATTCCGATGTATATATCATTTTTCATTATCTCTGATCAGAAGTTAGTGAAACTTGACAGCTGGTGGTTAGCATGTCAGACCCGAGTATTCATGGTTCACTTCCCATTGCTGCAACAAAATCGTGTGCTCTGCGCTTTGGGTCCATGAGTGTTATAAGAGTAACCGTCAAATTTCACTATTCAGTTAGAGTAGCCCAAAAGTTGGTAGTGTTGACTCACGGCTCTCTCTATAGTCTTTCATTTCAAAATTAAGAAAGGCAAGTGCAGATAGCATATGTGTAGCCTATGCGAGGATATGCAAGCTAAACTAACTAATTATTTAAATATTTACTCAGAGTTACTTAATAAAATCTATAGCAAATAAAATTCACTTGCTTAATCTGGTTCACACCATAACAGTCGTTGTTCATAAAAACGGATCATATATAGCGCCTAGACAACTACTATGTTTTTATCCCAGCCGGCCTGATGAGCCCTGATATTGGGCGAAAGGCATCGTCTACACAGGATGTGGTAGATGCAGTATGGCTGGCATATTATATTCTCTCCTTTGCTTTAACTCATGAGTTGTTAGAATTAGAATTGAAAATTAATTTTAATTACAAGAACATCCAAACAACTTGTGTCCTAGCGGTAGGTGTGCTGGACTGAGGATCGAGAGTCCATAGTTCGTGTCTGGTTGTAGCTAAAAAGGGAAAACAAAAACTCGTACTCTGTGCTACGAGTCTGTGAGTGCGTTATAACAGTGACGTGGCCATTAAACTCTTCAATTATAGTAGCTCATGAGTTGGCGGTGCGTGCTGTTGACTAGCTGCCTTCCCTGCAACTTTTCAAGTCAAATTTATGGACTGCTAGAACAGATAGTCATTGAGTAGCTCTCCTTGAATAAGCCAAACTACCCAACTTTTTATTGTTAGTATACCGATTCAGTCCGTATGGTGATTTAAGAAGCATTGTTTCAAGGTTACTACTTGTCTCATAAGTTTCCAAGAACACACAATTGTCCTTTTTTCTTTTGCCTTGAACCTTCTAGCATTAACAATTAACTGTTGAAAACCGTGTGACAGTTAAACTACTGTTACCCTCGACAACGTGAATAATTCATAGATCACTTCATCTTTCCGTCTCTTTAACTTTAATGACAATTGAAATGTTCACTCCACTGTCAGGTTGATCAATGAAGGTCACAACAAATTAGATTTAAAATACCTGGATTTTCTACACGAATGAAAACGTTTATTCCTCTAGCTTCGGTTGATCATTCACTCAATACAACAGTAAAGAATGCGCTTACGGTTTATAGAAATTACGTATGGATTTAGAAGACGTCATTAGCACTGAAAGTTTACAGTTAATTCTGCTTTAACTTTTAGTTTTATACCGAATCAGTCTGCTGACCTTACATTTGTTTTCCTCACATTATTAACATTTTCGATACAATTATTACTTTCACGGTTAATTAGCATGCTGAAACATGTATATAACTGATTAGAGAATTTTAAGATTTATTTTTAATATTGGATTTTATAAATTTATTGTTTTAATGTTATCATTGAACTTGAACTCGTGCATCCAAGCATCTAATTAACAGAATATTAAAATTTCTGCAAATTTTCTTATTCTAGTGTAAGCAGATTTTATTACTTTGGGTAAGCTTAAAGGTTTGTGCAATAAGTAACATGCCTTCAAAACTACATCTGTAATTGTTCTAACTGGAAACAGTTTCTAAGAATAATTATCTCATCTTAGTTACCAGATATTTGACAGAACAACGGAAGGAGGAACATTGTCTGAAATTCAAGTCCATGGAGTAGACCATAGTGACAATGGAATCTTTACGTGTCTAGCAAAGAATGCGTATGGAGAAGACCAAAGAACAATAAAATTGATTGTCCTTGGTGAGTAACTTGAAATGCTACATAAGCTAATACAATAGAGAAATTTAACATTGTGCAACTACTTGGTCGTCTTTTGTAGTAAGAAACAAATTGTACAGTCAGTGACACCGAAGATGGTGAGGCAGGACCTGTTCTTGTGATCATGCTTGTTACTCTTACTTGTGCACTGGAGTTTCTTAAAGAATCATGAATTTTCCTGGCAACTCTAGTTTGTTCGAGGCGCCCTCTTTTTTATTATGTAAGCCTGGAAAGAAAACCAGCGAGATTGAATAGATTGCATAGACAGATAGATATGCAGATAGATCGAAGATATAGATAATTGAGTCAAGTGAACAGTAGGCCTTCCCTCTAGTCTTACACTGCTAAATTAGGGACATCTAGAGCAGATATCTCTAGTGTAGCTTTGTGCAAAATTCAAAACAAACTAGTATAAAAGATTTTATACAACTCTTCAAACTGTTAGATTAGATGATAATTCACCAAGTAACTTTTTATTCTTAAATATCTTAATGCAATAACAACAAACCTGTTTAGCAATACAATTAGGACACATTTATTAAATATTCTGCTTTATTTCTTTCAATGTGTACAAAATTAACGTGTGACATTAATTATTTTTGCAGTGTAACAATTAACTCTGAAGTTCACAGTCCAGAACATGTACATGCATATCAAATTACCTATATTGAATTAAATTTTGTTTTATAAATTATATGAATTATTGAATCAATGTTATTAAAAAACTTTGACTTCTGTAATGTAAAAGCAATGCTCAATTGTAAATAAATGCAGTTTTTAAAATCATAATTTACAGTCTAATGCTTGGGCCTCCATTAGAATTTTTTTAAAGAATCTTTGACAGTTCTACTAACATTGGTTAGATAATCCGATTGCTAAAGAATGTGATCTTAAATTTTTTTATTGTTTTGTTAAATACTCAGAACCACCTTCAGCCCCATCAGATGTTCGTGTGGACCAAACTTGGAGTAGAAGTGTGAGAATCACATGGATGATGCCCTATAGTGGAAATAGTCCTGTTAACAAATACATTATCCAATATTGGCAAAACCAAGGTAATTTTTATAAATTCTTTATACTGTACATATTCATACGTGTGTCTTTAATTCAAGGCATTATTAATAATAGGAACCAATATTTATAAGATCAACCAAAGTGAGAAAATTAAAATATAACTGTTTTTTTAATTTTTTAAGGTACTCCTCATCGACTGGAAGAAGAAACAGTTTCTTCAGCACAGACTTCAACAATACTTTATAAACTTCAACCAGGAACATCCTACGTTGTGCGAGTGATGGCAGAAAATGATGTAGGAAAAGGAACTCCATCTGAAAACAGACATTTTCTCACAAGTGAAGAAGGTAAATATTCTTAAGATTTACTTTGTGTGCTGAATTGTGAGGTTTCATATATCCTTAATTGAAGAAACAAACATTACAATTTTAAAACATTTTCTTTAAAATGTATGACGTTTATTCTAAACTTGTGTGTTTTAATGCTTAATGAAGAAAGCATATATAAAGATATTATCTACTAGAAGTTCACTCAAGATGGGGTTAACCTAATATGGTATTACTTAAATCTCTCTCCTTGCTTAATCAAATTCAATTAGCATTCAGCATCTTTCATTCACTCACAGCTAATTCAAACTATCTTCTACTTGAAGAATGTAGAACTTACTGTTTGAATACAAAAAACCTTCCATATCCTTGTAAGCTTTCTATTAAGAGTACATGATGTACCATCTTTGTTTTCAGAGCCAAGTGCTTCACCTACTGATGTGTCGGTGGAAGCCAGGGGAGCTGGAACCCTTCATATCAAGTGGAAAGTAAGACCAAAAAATCAATGTAAAAATATTTTAAAGTTTGTCTTTTTATGATTATGACATTTTCTCCTATTTAGTAAGATATTTTGTTACAAATAATACAAATTAAAGTTATGAAGGAATTTTTTCCTTGGGTTTTTGATGGCTTAAATTTAAAGCCAAAATTAAGGAAAATATATGTTTATTTACATCACGATAGTTAAAATACTAATGTTTACTAATGTTTTTGTATGGCTGTTTGTATGGTTATTTACATCACGATAGTTAAAATACTACTACTAATGTTTTTGTATGGCTGTTTGTATGTTTATTTACATCACGATAGTTAAAATACTACTACTAATGTTTTTGTATGGCTGTTTGTATGGTTATTTACATCACAATAGTTAAAATACTACTACTAATGTTTTTGTATGGCTGTTTGTATGGTTATTTACATCGCAATAGTTAAAATACTAATGTTTATTAATGTTTTCGAACAAAATATTACACTAAAAGACTTGCTTATGAAAATATTTTCAAGACATTATCAACAAATATTTTTGTTCAAGTCAAGAAAGTACAAAAAGAATTCATAATTTTATTAAGGCAGAGTAAATATGAGAGTACTTGTCTCCAGTATAAATAGTGTTTGCTATTCACTGAACTAAAGAGTTTAGTTTGTTTTATACAAGACATGCAGAAAGGAATTGCCCAACATGAAGACTATACAAGCTGTATAACTACCTCAGTGGGGATGAGATAATGTAGGCAACACAAAAAAATTTAATTTTATGGTTTAACTTATTATTCTGTTGACTGGTTGATTATATTTTGTAGACTACATTTTGTTCTACAACGAAAACTCTTAACATAAGGACCGAGATTACAATCGTCCAGAAAGGCAACTGCCAAAATTAGTAGGTATACAAATGTTTAGATTTGTACCTTAAATTTTGAGTAAACAACCATTAACTTTCTCTTAAAGTCATAAAAAAATCAATGTTATATATTTTCATGATTAACCACAACTTAAATTTTCGTATGGTTAGGCACCACCAAAAGACCAATGGAATGGTCAGCTGAAAGGCTACTATGTTGGCTACAAGGAAACAAGTTCAACAGATTCTTACACATATAAGCATGTGACATTCAGTGAAGGACTTTCAGAAGAATATTTGCTTCAACATCTGCGAAAAAATACAGCATATGGTATTGTAGTGGTAGCTTTCAACAGTGCAGGTAGAGGACCTGAATCCCAAGAAATTGGGAAGATAACCAAAGACACTGGTACATGTTTATTTGTTTATATGTATACATTGTTAAAAATATAGGATGTGAAAGATTGGAAAAAAATTAATATGTAATATCATATCTGTATGCATATGAGTTTTTACAATAGTGTACTAATTCATATGGACAAATTTAAATATGGGTATCTTTAATTTATTTCATTTAATTTCAGAGATGGGTAATTTTACCTAATTAATTATTCACAGATCATAGATATTAAAGATATATTTTATACTTAGATCCTCCTACAGCTCCATCTTTAAGAGTTACTGCTCAGTCAGAAACTACTATTACTATAAAGTGGCGACAAAACAAAGGTGATGCCGACATGATTTCACGTAAGTGTCCAATTTTCTTTTCCTGTAATTTTTATGCATATTTATAACTGAAATAATAACTTTTGTCAAGACATGATAAAAAAATAATTTAAATAAATAAGTGTACACAACTGTCTTAGGGAAACTTTATTTTTTCAATGTTTGTTGCAGATGCTCTCCATCAGGCAAACGTACTGTGTTACTGTGTTACTCTTGTTGAGTAATTTACTTATGAAATCCAAATTTAATAATGCTTTCATAACATTTTTTCTGTTATAAATTTTTTGTTTTATTATAATGTTATTTATTTAAATACAATTTAGCTTTCTTGTAAGTTAGAGGACAGAATGTATATTACATGACAGATGTAATTTCATGGTTTATTTTATTATTTTACTCACTGATTGATTATATTTTATAGATTACATTTTGTTCTACAAAGAAAACTCTAACACATGGAATGAGGTTACAATTCCTCACATAAAGAAGAAAGAATATGTTCTTCAGAGTTTGAGACCTGGAAGCATTTATTGTCTTTATCTTCAAGCTGCTAGCCAAAAAGGCAACAGTAACCCAAGCAAAACGTTGACAGTGAAAACAGATGGTGCAGGTAAGCTTAGAACTTACAGCTTCAATGGAGATGAGATAATATTGGTGGGAAACAAAAGAATGTTTTTTTTTGTTTTTTCACAGAAATGTCAAATTGATCATTTCCAGTTGTATAAGTCCAGAGGAAAAAAATGGCATTAATTTTGGTTTATTTTGTAATGTTCAATGACAAAGATAACATAATATGTCCCACACTGTCATTTAAATATTTAAAGTGTGCCTTGATGGAAATACAGTTTAAGAGTGAAGGAGGGATCATATAGGAATTATTTGTTTGTGTGATCTTATGGATTCTTTAAATATGATGTACTCTGATAACAGTAGGTAGTAGCAGTATGATTGTTACATTAGTTTCAAACTATCCTGGATTATTCAAAAAATGTCAAAGTAAGTTTAAAGATTTTAAAAACCATTCAGAATTTTTTCACATAACACAACTGTAGACGTTTTTGATATCTTATAGGATCTGTCAAAATTTAGAAATCTTCATATAACTAACTAAACAAAATTGTTTTTGTTTTTCAGCAGGACCTATGGAATGGAATTTACATGCTGTAATCTCAGGAGAAGAAGAATTACCAGAGTATTTCCGTCTGCCAGTTTTAGCACCAGTGTCTGCTTCTGTGGCCATTGTAATTCTTGTTGTTATTGTGTCTTGCATGGCTGTGAAGAAGGAACAAACACGATATAATAGAGATATCGGTGAGTAATTGTATAACATAAAACCATTAGAAATATTATCATACCAACATTTGATGGCTGAGTTTGTAGATGGTATGCAGATTCTAATCTTTGAAAGTAACAAGCTGCTTTGGTCTGCAGTTTATCACTAGAACACTGCTTATCACTCACTTATTCTATTGTTACGACAATGCAGGTTACGTGACGCTCGTATCACGCCACTTCCTTCCCGAACCTTCATGAAATGTCGGGAGACTACTAGGTCGGCGTAGTCTTGTATATATATATATATATATA